TTATGGGATATCTGCAAAACATGTGTTCAAACATATTCAAACTAAGGCATGCTATGGATGAAGAGGAAGAGCGGCTCCCAGTGATGATCCCTCGCAGGATCCCAGATGGGCCCACTCACCCGCTTGGAATGCCTTTCCGGCTGTGGTGCTTGATGGCTTTACTTGGGCAGGTCCTAGAGTTGGGGGTTAAAAATATATCCATGGTTTTAATTTCTAAAATGGTGCCATTTGAGTATGATTGAAACCTACGGTTTGGGGGATCCCCATTTTAGAACTATATAACATTTAAATAACCCCATGCCTACGTAGAATATTTTATCCCATGCCTAGAGTTAGAAGGTAATATTGTATGGCCATACATATACTGTACATGTATGACCTAATTCCTTGAGAATGGGGGTGATATGAAAGTTTCCAATAAGGGAAATCCTAACAATCCTGAAAGTTAAAGTCTAAGTTTCGATGGTTTGGGGTTACCGTAGGTTACACGAGTTCTGTGACATCCATGGGACTTCAAAATCTGTTCCCATGACAGGCATTTGTGCACACTCCGGGCAAGTTCACTTGCATTGACATGTTCGCTGGACGCGCTCGAATTTCAAAGGCCTTTACAGAGATTGGCCACAAGGTGTGTACTCTTGATATCTCCAGAAATGAAGCTGACGACCCTTGTATTTACAAGATTATATGGATGTTAGGTTTAACCTTATGTCTCTGGGCCTCTCTACTTTACCTTTGGTTTGTGCTCATCCCCTGGATACCTAAGGACATACTGGAGCCCAAAGGATTCTGTCGCCATTTGCTGGCGGTGTTACAGCTCGCAACGACTGGACTGGTGGTCATGCGGATTCCTTGTTCCACTTGGATCACCATAAATCGCAACTCGCCCAAGAGCCAAGTTTGAACAAACATAGTTAACTGTTGTGGGTCAAAATGATTTTTTGATGTCTATTTTTTTTTGGACATTGGTAAGGCATCCATATTGCTGGTCTTGACTCATACTTGATTCACAAAGGAATTCCCATTTTGGGGTTGGATTGCAATGGATATTTAAAGAACAGGATCAGTTGAGAGGTGCCCCTCCCCACCAACAAAAAAAACTATCGATGTTTATTATATCGAAGACACCATCCACCCTGTAATGTATGATCAATGTACAGTTCACGTATTTCTTATCGACATCATATGTAAAATCAAAACCCAATCAAACATTAGTCTTTGAAGTATTTGCCCGCTCTGAGGAGGAACAAGTCATCGCTCAAAAGACTGTCCTCTTGGATCGAAACTCACTTGCAATTAGTGGGTACATGAATGGAATTTAACAACCCAAGTGTTTTGAATCGACCAATATAGTTGTGGTACTTCTTATTGCATACCGGAACCTTGAAGAAACAAAATCATTGTTTCTTGGGGGTGCAGTTCTGGGAAATGTAAATTATAGGTTAAATTCTGGATCGTAAAAGCTTTCAAAACCCCAATGAAAGGAGACCAATTGAACAATTCCATGCATGAACACATGACCACATATAACTAGGGGGTCTGATGATATCCAAAATGACTTGCATACCTGTTGGAACCCTTCTCCAATGATCCCAGTTGGGGCCCACACTCCTTGCATTTGCCAAGGAATGAGAAGTTCGCAGGATTGGCTAATACCTTGGTTTCACGAGATGCTTGCACAGCAACATCAGGAGGTGATGAACATGTTGGGTTCGTATCAACTGCATGATTCTGCTAGGGCTATCTGGATTCTGGAAATTGATTTTATGGGGTTTCACTGGGATCCCAAATATGTATCATTATAATGGTGGTTTTGGAGATTCATGAGATTGGTATACAAAAGCCCTGGGGTTATTTTGCAATCCTTTCTTAACATATCCGTAACATTCCGTAACGGTGTGGTGTTCACTTTTGTGGGGTCACCAGTTGCGCATCTAAGTGCGCGTTGCTCTGCTACGCCATCTTGCACGTCGGTGGAAAGTTTGTCATTGAGAATCCGATGACATCATTGGTTTGAATCTTAATTGTGCCACAATATACATGATATGTTTGTCAAAGTTTACTACGCTTAAGGCTTAATAATTTGATTCTTGATGCCCAACCTCCACTGAGTTACCTTTCCATCCACGACTGGCCAAACTATTTGCAAATGTTGGCATCAGCTCGACCTTCACATGGCTTGGTGAATATGGATCTGGAATTCCAAAACCTATTCGGCTGTGGTCGAATTCCAATTTTATTGAACCACTACGAAGGACTTTCCTGGTTTCAACGCAGTAGCAGAGCCACCTATATTCATATAATTCAAGGATGGGGAATAATGTGTACATGGCCCCCATGAATGAACCACAACCCAATAAATGCAGAATATATACATATTGGGTGAAGGATAATATATGTTCTACATGATAATTACATATTTTGAATACCCTAATTACCTAACGGCCGCAGGAGACTGCGACGTCGCCGGTATATTGGACGACGAGGCTTGGTGATTCACTACACTGATCGCCGGGGAAGGCGTCGCTTCAAGGGTGGCCAACGGCTTAAAGAGAGCCAAGCGTATCCCATTCGATTTGCCCGTGCAGCGCTTGGGCTGCCAACACATGGAGACATGTTGGTCAAATCCTTGGGGTTTGGGGGTGATTCGGGCTCTATGAGTTATTAGTCAATGCTAGCATTCATGGTAAAGGCAACATCACTGGTTGTTCCAAGTAGATCCATGCTATTCTCCGGCAACATGGTTGATGTTCTTCATGTGGAACAAATCCTAGAAGTCAATAGTTTCAGGCACAGGTGAACCAAATGTGGACAGGACATTGCCCAGCACTGCACTAGCAGTTCGCCCAGCCAGCGCAATCACCAAGGTGCGAGATGCCTGGCTTCCTCTCCACAATCCAGCGGCTCCTCCGCAGAACCTGATGTCCACTTCTGCACCAGTGGAACCAATGGTGAACCATGAGAAGGATACTTGGGATGACGCTAACCTAGAACATGTGATGTCTTGGTTGGAAACTTATTTGAATGAGCGTCGTAGTAAATCACGACGTGAATCTCTATAGGGTGGATTTGTGTGATCCTAGCGCTGGGTCCTACCAATTGACCATGTTGTTGGCCACAATTCAATGTGCACTTGGCGCCCCTGTGCTCAATTAGCTCCCATGTTGATAAATGTGGGGGGACAATCGCACATTCAAGCCCAAGAAAAATGCAGGGACAGCACATGGGATGTAGGGTATGTTTGTGCATCCTATCTTTGAAGGATATCCCGAACGGATTTTAGAAAAACTATGGACGGAAGAAAGCCTGCTCCAGTGAGATGCCATATATGATACCTTTTCTAAATATGGGATTATACGTTACTAGTATAATCATGGACAACCCATCTACAACTGGTGCAGGATTTCTTCCATCCGTAGTTTTGGGATGAGATTATTGGGATGAGATTATTTTTCATATTATGAAGGCAATCCAATGTTTTAATGAAAATGAGCTCTATAAAATGATAGCTGCTTTCAAAAATTGTTTCCAATGGTTCATCGGTAATCTTGGGTGCTCTCCACAGGTTATCTGTTGATGAATGTTCCAGAAAGCGTTGAACAAACCGGGCATGTGGGGAATGGAATCCAAACATACCGTCAGATAGCGTCAGATATCATCACCGGGGGCCATCCAAAACATACCGTCAGATAGCGTCAGATACCATCAGATACAGGGGACCACCACCATTTGGAAAGATAGCCCGTCGGATAGCGTCAGATAGCATCGGATGGGTCCCTGGCGGTCCCTCGAATCCTTACTTTCGCGAGGGACCAGCCGTCAGATAGCGTCAGATAGCGTCAGATAGAAGTTGCATCTAATTTCCAAATAGGTTACCGTGAGATGGCATCAGATACCATCAGATACCGTCAGATACCATCAAATACCGTCAGATAAGTTTTTTTGGGGGTACCACTTTTCACCCTGTCTGATCTTGGTCTCCCAGCCGCTCCATTTGGGTCGAAGTAGACCTGAGAAAACATGGTGAGCAATCTTGGGAAGATGGTGGAGGACCGAAAACACTTTTGATGTGTCATTTGTTTGCACCCCTTCATATCCCTTCCATTGGGGGACATGTGTTGTTTAAATGTGATTCCCAGGACCACAACAGGTCTGTTAGCTTCAGCCCTTGCACTGCTTCTGATAAGAAAGCGTTCTTTCGACGTTTTCCTGGAGCTTCCCAGGCGAGATTGTAATCATAAATCAACCCTTCCATGATCATTGCATGGGCATCAATGAATGTGTAAGTAATTGGTATTTTGTAAATTGAAAAGCTGGAGGCATTCCACACGCCACCAGCGACGCGATCGATGACATCTCCCGCTGGATTCAGCCCTGTGGAGGACATTTTGGTGTGGGGATTGTTCCAACTTACCCCGCTGGTTCTTTATCTATCGAACATGGTCTATATATACAGTATATGATGTTCCATAACTAGGTTGAATAATCAGTGGATAGTTCAAGTGGGTACCTGCAAATTGTATCTATGAAAATATGGCCAGCCCTTCTTTCATTGATTGATGTAGGGGAACAAACATAGAAAAAACACCCATGCAGGAAGATTCCCAAGCCACCACGGTCGCTGCATCAGAGTCCCAGGTGCCGATTCTTGTTGATATAATCCAGGTAGGTGTACCAAACCTTGTGTTGCAAAAGTGAATGGGTCTCCCACAGTGCCCCATGCAGGTGACAGATATCCTTTGGCCTACCAATTTGGATTTTTCACCTCGAGATGATCCTGCAATGAAGTTGATGGAGCCGCTTGGTATGAAATCCAACCACCAATTCATCATCAATTCACCACAAATTCATTTTACTTTTTACAACTACCTTCATTTCACAACAATCTACTCATTTTACATGTCTGATATTTTCTGTATCTTAGGTCAGTTTCCCCACTCAGTGCAGAGACCGTTTCCACTACAGCATCCCCAAGCAGCTGCGCCAAAGCAAGCCCAGTCATGACACCTGTGCCAGCAAAGCCTGAACGACCCTCGCCCGCTCCAAGCCCCAGTGTGAACAAGAAAGCCAAATGCTCAGCGCCCCCGGTGCCTGATAGCATGATGCCGCCACCTGAGGCTCCCTTAAAGAAAACAAAAACTGAAAAGGCATGTGCAGTGAAGGGAACAGGCAGACCTCCTGCCACCCCATTGGCCAATCCATTGGCAGCCCCGCCGCCTGTGGCAGCCCATGCCGCCATGGTCTTGCGACCCCCACCGCCCAAAGGATCACCACCAGCTTGTCCCGAGACCGAACCATCGCCAGGAACACCAGCTTACGTGAATGTCCATGGAGTCCCAGTGCCCATGTCCAAAGCAGGGGTGAAAATGGAGGTCAGACCAACACAAAACACAGCAGCAGCAGCTCTGAGAAAGCAGAAGGCACGGCCAAGCATGAAGGTAGAGCAACGTGAAGATACTCTGCCACCCAGTGCCAGCCTGGCCCTTGACACTTCAGCCAAAGCCTCACGTCCCACATCACCCACATCACCCACAAGCACAGAGTCAACCGCTCCATCCCCATCCTCAGCCAAAGCCTCACCCACCTCAGCCAAAGCCATTTCACCTTCCAGCACCACGGCAGCATTGGCAAAGGCCAACACCCCAAGCCCTGATGATCACAGCACTGCCCCTACGCCAGCAAAGTGCCCGGCTCCAACCCCAACACCTGATGATGGGAAGACAACCGAAACCGATATTCAGCGAGAAGAGAGGGTTCGAGCATGGGTCTGTAAAATGGATGATGTGGAGATCACTCGTTCCATTCAAAAAGCAGAAAGACATAGCCTGTTTCCACAGTTCGAGCTTTGGAGACGGGATGAGATCTTTGGTGTCGGTGGTGATGAGGATATCCCCAGATTTGGGGCTGATGATGAAGAGGAAGAGCTTGTGTCTTGGCTCATGTGGCTAGAAGACCCTTCGAGGCCGTGTGTTGAGAACGCACTCCCAGACCCCAATCCTGAGGAGACAGCATCAGTTGCAGTTGCAAAGAAGCCCAAACAAGTGACATTTACACAGAATGTCACTGTACACAGCCTGCCTGACACCGCAGTACCTGCCAAAGCAACCACTTCGATACTCAAGCCTGCAGCAAAAATGCCAGTACTGAAGCCTTTGACTTTGGCCCCTGCACCGCCTATGAAAGCATCAGCAGCAGCACCACCACAAGCAGCACCAGCAGCCACGCCCTTGCCTCCAGCCCCTGCCAGAGCAACACCAGCAACGGCAACCACATTGCCTGTGCCTCCGCCTGCCAAACATGCAGCAGCCCCACATGTGCCAGCAGCTGTGCCGCCTGGGTCATTGGCCTTACTGCCACCAGCAAGTGCAAGCCCAAAGCCAGCAGCTAGCCCCCTTCCAGCAGCACCAGCCAGCAATGGCATGATCCCAGCTTCGCAGCTAGCCAGCCAGATCCACATTTCAGCCCCCGTTTCTTAGTGGCATTGATGAACATAAAAACATTAAAGAAAACATGGATCAAATTCCATCACCCTTCTTGAACATAGTTTAGATTTAAAAAGAAATCAAATCTAGCTCCAAAATCAGCTTCCATTCTGTTTGAGGTTGGTGCAGAAGTCACATTTGAAGGCTACAAAGAGCGACAGGCTCACTATGCTCAAATGAAGAGGCCTGTAACGGGTGGACCTCATGCATTTAATATTAATATACCTAGGACCGAATCATTTCACAGGTGTAGGGGGTATTACAATCATACTGTCTGTGAAAACATATGAACCCACAACCTGAAACCCAGCTTTGATATTGAGTTGACAACTCTATCACTGCATGATTTGATTTCCCAATAGATGCTTCGTTACTTTGATTTCTCCAGTTCATTTCCCCATGGATTCTTCGCATAATTTTGATTTAATTCACCATATTTTAATTTGAGTTCCCATTTGATTTCCCCTTGATGCAAGGCAGCTGGATGCAAGTGAAAACTACAGCATCCCCGATGAAATTGTGGCATCATGGAAGCAAGCTGTTCAGAGCAGGAGTCGTGCTGCAAAGAATGCTGTTTTCCAGTCTTTCTTGAAAGCTGGAAAAGACTGGTCAAAGTTTCTTGGTGGTTATACGGGTACGGGGCTCTCATCTATATGTCAAAAAAATATGTGGAAACATGGTCAATCAAGTGGTCTCCCCAGATCCCTCTTGGTTATGGTTACTTTGATTCTGCCACTCCACCAAGGCTGTCCATCAAGGCCACCAGGAGCCGCACTGACAGAACCATTGGGCGAAAGCGCTATGGTCCAAACCTTAGGCAGCCATGAGAGGTCCACCGGTGGCATTTTTTGGGGGGAACCACTGGAACACTCCTAAATCGAACTGCAGGACCACAATGAAACAGGATGTATGCATGTATATGTAAAACATACATATATATTATATATATATCATGATGATCACTATATATGTTTCATGTAGGCATGATGGAAATATGCATCGCTATCATTTGATACCAAGACTGTCATGCCAAGGCTGGAAGACCCGTGCGCAGCTCATGGCTATGCACAATGATGAGCAAACAGTGAATCGTATCATTGATATGAAGACCCGGAACTCGGAGTTCAAAGAGCACCCTGACAGCCCGGGAGATGCAAATGCTACGTTGTTTTATGTCTTGTTGGACATGGAACGGGTTGATGAGGACGAACATGAAGATCGTGTGGATCTTTCGGTTTCTGGTGAAGCCACCGGTGAGCAGGTGCTCAACATGTTTGATGGTGATTAGCTTGACAAAAAATACCATTCATTTCATGAAGAAAAATACACCAGTTTTCAATTGCATACGGGATCCCATGGTGATGATTCATTCTACTGTGTGACCCCTGGCTAGGCTGAACGGTTTGCATCAGAGACTGAGTTGAATGCATTTGGGGGTGGCATCATGTGTGAACCCCTTCGCCTACACAGCTTGCAGCTGCCCAAGTCGGAGGGTGGTGCTGTGACTCCCGACACAAGCGTGGCTGCGCCATCGGCTGAAGGTCCTCAGGGAAAGCCCAAGGCCGCAGCCAAGCCGAAGCCAAAGTCAGCCGGGGAGGGTGCCGGGAGGAGGAAGATTCTTGGATTAATCAAACAAATGTCAAACATAGATCAAGATCCCTGAGATATCTAGATCAAATATTGCCATATCTGTGTTGAAAAAATGAGTCCAAAGCGAATGTATTTCCATTTGGTCATGGTGAAATGCCACATCTACTCTTTTGGTGGTGTTCAGGAATGAAATGCCTGATGAACTTCGCCCTCGTGCCCTGTGGATTTTGAATAAGTTGTCCGGGGACCTTCAGGGGGCGCGCATGTGGCCCGTGAAACTGGCGCACTTGAAGCACCAGGAGGCATTGAGTAGCTTGCCTCATTACTCACCCCATCAATTAATTTGGATAAAATTAGGTACATGGCAATATTTCAAATTTATCCCATATTATTGATTATCTAGTTCCTTTCCCATGCTTAATATGTACATAATACATGTGTTCCCATGTTTGCTTACTAAGGCAAAAGCTTCCAGGGGCATGCGGATGAGCTGGAACGTTCATTCATCCAGCTCACACGCATGACTGTGAACAAGGAGAACCCGAGAAGTTTGTGACCCCCACTTGGGTGACAATGTATGACTGTTCGAGTTGGAGATACCCTTTATAATTTCATATATATGTCGATCCAGAAAATCCCTAAGCTATGGAGCATATTACATGAAATAGCCACCATAATAACCCATATTCTCATATCCCGCGAGGAAATTGATCCTTCGGAGGTGGACCAGTTGACCGCAGCTACCACGCTGGCACTCCAGCGCATGCAGCTCTACCAGGAGGATGCTGGTGAGGCCAATACTCTGACGAAGCCAACGCGTTCGTCGGGGTCAAAGGACGGTTTCCCCCAAAACAAAATCCACAGTTATGGCCCTTAACAGTTATAAATGGAAATATATCTCCTATAACTCAGGTTATAGATCATTATGAAACTACTTATAACTGTAAAGGGCCATAACTGCATCCAATCTGGTGACAACAAGAAACATCCACCTCATACTGATACAGTTGTGTTTTACCATTTTTTTGGTATATATACCGGGTACGCCCATCTATGGAAACATGATTTTACACCTGGGGATCGTTGCCATCATGATGCCAACATGTTAGTTGTCAGTTCCATACGCTATTAGTTGTTAGTTCCAACATGATTTTAGATTCCAACATGTTAGTTCAATATCCAACCCATCAATATATAATATATATATATATCCCAAACGCTCATGTTAGTATTGGAACCCTCCAGATGCCTTGGTCCAGTTCCATTCACAGCAATTCCTGCTCCATCCAGTCCACTGCACTGGGTCCCACGCAATTTCCAGGACAAAGCGAAGGGCACCTCGAGCGGGGCCAAGTGATGGAGCACGTTTCCAGTCGTCAAAGACATGACGCCAATCTCTTTTCTGAGTGACCAAGTTTTCTTTTCAAAACTGATGGTCTTGTCTAATCAATGCTCTTAAGGGGCCAACTTAGGGGATGGATGTCACAGCTGGACCAGAGTCCCTGTGGCAGCAATGCTGTGCGTTAGCTTTACCATGCCAGAATATGGTGACATCTTGCGCAAAGGGGAACAAATTGAAGATCTCATTGACGACTTTGTTCAGTTGGAAATGGAAAGCCATCTATCATTTTTCGACTAAATAAATTCATCTAGATTCCCCATAGCCAGGACTCCAAAGACGACGTGACATTACTACAGCTACATCATCGAAGAATGATGGTGCAAAGGACACTACCTAGGGGATATTTCCGTTTTAAGAATCTTTGATCAAACATCGTATCGCTTATGTTGAAAAAATTAGCAAGTCTAGTGCAATGTTCAAAGATATATCAACCCACTGAATCAATCTTGGAATGTTCGACCCAGGTCCCTTTTCCCAAGCCTCGTGTCACTTTCCGGCACAGGAGCAGCCATCCAAGCGACCTCGATTGACACCGTATGAGGAACCACATATCTTGGCTGCAAAAGCAAGGGGAGCCCCTCCCAAACAACTTCCAGAATTTCAAGACCTTTTGGTGGATGATTTCGCATCTGGCAAAGCCAGCGCGACCAGAGTTACTTGTTTTGATTTTTTTATCACCAAATTTTACAACAAATTGATAATTTATCCACATATTATCCATATTTTGGATGTATATTATATAATCCATGTAACAACCCAGGATTCAATCATGGATGGGTAGTTTCAAGTTTTGATGTTTTTTCCCCTCGGGATAGGACCTTGGATTTTGGGTTCAAATGAACTTGCTTTTCATGGGACAAACCCTGAGCTCTACAAAGATTATCAATGAACCATCCCGTATACAACTGTTGATTATGATGTTCCCCCTGTCCTTAGACCAAAAAGATTGGGGTGTTGCCCAGGTTCAACAAACAGCTGCTTCTGCACTTCAGTGGTGCAAACAATCCGGTGGGACTGTACAAAAAACTGATTTAGTGCATCGTATCTCTTTGGTGGGTACAAGCGGCAAACATACCCAAAATGCTGAAAGGGACTTCCATATATTATTGAAGTCTCTATCGAAACGCCTGGGGGTCAAAATCCACAGTGTTCCAGCTCGATTCTATTGCCATGCTTCAGCATCAATTCAATGGCAAGAGGTTTCTGTGATATACCCGGATGATATGGCGAATGCTCTGTATGCCAGAGGAAAGAAAGTCTGGTATCACACAATGTTTGGAAAACATACTCCGGATGAAGTCCGAAATTTCTGGAACCACTGCAAAAATACATGTGACTGGTTCAAAGGTAGCCCATGTCATGACTACCCAGTGATGGACAAGATCATCCCCATGAGTTTCTATGGTGATGGTATTGCGGCTTACAGAGGTTCTGAAACTGGGCAAATTACAGCGCTTGGGTGGTGCTCGGACTTTGCATATGGAAACTCATCGCTTACAAGGTATTTTCCAATTGCTATATATCCAGAATATGCTGCCACAGAACACACTTACGATGATATCATGAAACCTGTGGTGGACCGGGTGCGAGGCATGGTGGACCCAACAGTACTTCATGACTGGTCATCCGATGGCTATGTCTTTTCCCTATCCTCCATTCAAGGGGATCTCAAATTTCTCAGGGATGTGTACGGGCTCCACAACTACAGGGCTAATGCCTTTTGTTCAACTTGTGGTTGCGTGAAAAAGTCTGAAGACCCTGGTATGACACTTGCTGATTTTCGCGAAAACGCTGCTCATGCATCAAGCTTACCTGACCTAAGCGAGTTCCATCAAAACCGCATCTAGGCGTATAAGACTTATCCTTTGAATTCTTTTTCATTTGCCCACCTTACAAATGATACAATTGGAATTGCAATGCGTTGCATAGTGTTTTCACTTTCAAAAATGTTTGCGTCAAGGTTCTGTGATTTTTTCATTGGGCATTTCGCTGGATAGAGTTCTACATGACTGCTTGCATTCGCAGCTGCTTGGTACTGGGAAAACTGTGAATGGCAGTGCCATCATCTATTTGGCTGAAAGGGGATACTGGGGGAACTTTCCAAACGGTTTGTACCAAGATGCCCTAGCAGTGGTGCTACGCCAAGCTCATGTACATTTTCTGAATTGGAAAAAGCAGCACAGGCTGGTGGTTTCGCAGCCCAGATTCACACCCGCTCGTTTGGGGAGGAAGACTAGGATGAACTATCCCGTGCTTTCGAGCAAAGGCATTCCATCCAAAGTTGTGACTTTTTGGATTGCTAACTGCTGTGTGGAGTTTGCTTCGCGTCAACGGGCCACAGACTTGGATCGCATGGTGTCTACTTGCCTACATGCATACGCGAGCGCTCTGCGAAAGATGGACACAACAGGTCTTGTCTTGACGGAGGAGGAGGCCGAGTCATATTACCAATCAGTGAATCTACACCTTCTTAGCTATGCTGCTCTTCACACCAAGAGCAGAAATGCCAGGGGGAGAGATCCCGGCCGCACAATGTGGTACTTGCTTACAAAGCATCATCACTACTACCATCACGCGAAGGTGACAAGGCGTGAGCGGATCAACCCGCGTATGTCTCAACTGTTGGCTGCGGAGGACTGGGTGGGGCGACTAGGTCGCATCGCAAGGGCAACCCACAAAGGGAATGTGTCGCGAAGGACTTTGGAAAGGTATCTATGTTTGGTACACCTAGAGTTGAACAAGCTGTGATCTCTTTGGTGACTTGGTGCCCGGACGTTCGCCCCAATAGAACGCTCAGGGAGGCCGATGAAAAAAAGGTGCTGCGGTCAACCAACCGTCCCAGGATCCAAAACACATCCAAACCAGTGATCTTTGAGGGTATTTGAGGGTCCTGAATACCTTAGAGGCCCTCATGGGCCCTCACCATTCTTTCCCCGAGGGACCAAGGCATTCTGAGGGTTCCAATACTAACATGAGCGTTTGGGTATTATATATGTAACTATTGCCCGTTCCTATTATAATATTCTCAGGGGCTAGCGGCCAGGATGGTTCCCCCACCTTGGCGGGGGGCAGGTCGGTTCGTCGCCTGACTCAGCACCTCCGTGAGCAACTACTCCAAGGCAGGCTCTTGCCTCTGGGCTGCAGCTCCAGTTCCGGGAGTTTTGATGATGAGTTTTTTTTTTAGAAATTGGACGAACCGATGTGAACTGATGTTTGTTCCGCAGCAGTCAGTCGGAGACTGGTTCTGAAGCGTCTTGCTGATTTTCCTGGCTCCGCATGTTTGCGCAAGCATGCCCAGTCGCAGCCACCCGATCCAACGAAGAGATGCGAGCTTTGGCTTGTTCCGCAGCACTCAGTCGGAAACGGAACTTGAAGCGTCTTGTTGATTTGCCTCGCTCCGCGTGCTTGGGACAACGTAGCTGCTCACAAAGACATTTCTCGGATTTGGCTCCTACATTTTCCGCAGTTTTGTGCAACTTCACGCAACATGTCGACTTCGCAGAAAAAAAAGCAAGGCATTTCGACATGTCTGATTGTTTGCAAGTCTAGCATGGCTTCTGGTTGCATGCTGCGTCGCCATGATTGAAAATTACGCAAGTCTGTGATGCTCTTATATGCATCTCCGCTGTCATGAGGCCACGACCCTGGACTCGAGCGGACAGGCTCCGATGGATCACTGAGCTGGACCGTTCCAGTGTTTTCACGAGCTGGGATCTCAGTGCGATTTTTTCTGTCGAGATTGTAGACAACAATCTGGTTTGGCTCACTCTTCCTCACTGATATCAATCTGGTTTGGCTCACTCTCCATCACTCTCACTCACCGTGACTCACTTTCCATGCGCTCCACCAACCGACCATGAAAGTTTTGCAGGTGTGTGATGCTTCTTTGCATCTGCGTTTTCGTCAGGCCAGGGCCCCGGGCACTGGTGGGGGGAAGAGAGCGATAGGCTGCTGCCACATCTTGTTGCAGTCATGCGATTACAGTTTGTAACCAAAAGATGGATACAGCCTAGGATAAGAGTCTCAGTGCAAGGTACCGTCAGGACCCAGGACCGACCATGCAAGTTTTGCAGGTCTGTGATGCTTCTTTGCATCTGCGTTTTCGTCAGGCCAGGGCCCCGGGCACTGGTGGGGGGAAGAGAGCGATAGGCTGCTGCCACATCTTGTTGCAGTCATGCGATTAGAGTTTATGACCAAAAGATGGGTACAGCCTAGGATAAGAGTCTCAGTGCAAGGTACCGTCAGGACCCAGGACCCTAATCCCAGCAAGATTATGGAAGGGAGCATCAGGGCAACCCCATTATATGAGATCGTGGTACTGACTTTGTCCCATTATATTTGATATCGTAGCACTGAGTTTGCCCCAGCCCACCGACCTCCGCCTCCTGCCAGGTCCGCCCGTTTATATTTTTTGGGGAGATGGCAAACCACCTTGGTTGGGGGGCCCCAAAGCACACGCCCGTCATTGCATATCGATACACGTTGGTTTCGCGTCGCATCGATGTCCTTCTTTCTGGTTCGCATGGAAACGGGACTTCGCCACCTTACCCCTCGACACATGCACACACGATACAAGGTATACGCGTCCAGGCTCCTCCTCAGGTCTTATGATTTTAAAAGGAAGTGATGGTGTACCATGGCCTTGCCATCAGCCACGGTACATCTATTGTCACTTCCTCCCAATTGAATCTATGATAACCTTCGGCCTGTAACCCCGGTTCCCCCCGATCTCTTGTTGTGGGCAGATAGGCCTCTCTCTGGACGGACGGACTTTTCTAAGTAAAAGAAAAGCAAAAACTATTTTCTGTTGCTTCTTCAAAGTGATCCCCTTTGAGAAGGTCCATTGACCTTTTTTGGGATTGATCGAGTGGCCTCAAATTGATGGTTGACGAGGTCATTTTGAAGAAGCAAGTAACTATAGCTATTTGCTGGAGAAGAACATCACGGCGATCACCAAGGTCATCACAGATGTGTGAAGAAAAGGGTGAGCAAGGAGAACAACAGCTACCTTGCTGTTTTGAAGCCAGGAGAAACACCTCGCCACTGCCTAGGCGAAACAGATGGACGCATTACAGTGGCTGGCGGTGGTGTCATGTGGTTCCCACCTATCAGCAGACAAACTCAACATGTACACACACGAGACGTGTGACTGGCTATCTGTCTGCGAGGGTATCCACCTCCGTCCAAAACGCGACGGACGACCAGGTTGTCCTCGTGCGCGCTTTGGTGCATCTGCTGCAAGCAGTAATCGCGTCAAGCTGTTGCAGGACAATCTCGGGACTGACAAAAGTTTTAGTTAGGCTCGCCATGACATTACACACTTGGTCACGTATTGTGATGCGGTGCATATCGTCGAATCATTGTCTCACAGCTATGGAATATTTCGATTTGACAACCTTAGCGATTTGCTTACACTGTTCAAACATATATATTATATATGTAACTATTGCCCGTTCCTATTATAATATTCTCAGGGGCTAGCGGCTAGGATGGTTCCCCCACCTTGGCGGGGGGCAGGTCGGTTCGTCGCCTGACTCAGCACCTCCGTGAGCAACTACTCCAAGGCAGGCTCTTGCCTCTGGGCTGCAGCTCCAGTTCCGGGAGTCTTGATGATGAGTTTTTTTTTAAAAGAAATTTGCTTTCAACGGACTTGGAAGCCGGTTCCCAACGACACAAACACACACACTCAATCACCCACACACAAACACACACACTCAATCACTCACTCACTCACTCCCTCACTCCCTCCCTCCCTCCCTCCCTCACTCACCCTCTCACTCAGTTCGCTTCACTTCCATCATCATCATCATCATCATCATCATGATGATCATCATCATCATCATGATCATGATCATGATCATGATCATCATCATCATCATCATCATCATCATCATCATCATCATGTGCCAGCGATGTTTACCAGCCACAGGGCATGCAGAAAGAATTCACAAAATGTGCGGCTGCGCTCGAAAGAGTGCAGAACATTACTTTGGTCAGCGAAAGTATGGTGAGCACACCATCGTTTTGATAGTGTGTCGGAAGGCTGGAAAGGCGAGGCCGTTTCGAATGTGTGTTAAACATGTATGGTGTTGAATATGTCAGGCACACCAACAGTTTGTTCCTCACATTGACGTGTGGGGTTTTTGCTCCCCACATTGACTTGACTTGGTGTAGGTTATTGAAATCACTTTTAAGTTATGCCATGCAGTTATGATGTTTCCGGTCTGTGCCGGGAACGGAAAAGAGAACGCAGACACTCACTCACTCACACACTCACACACTCACTCACTCACACTCACAACTCACACACACACACACTCACTCTCACTCACTCACTCACTCACTCACTCACTCAGTCACTCACTCACTCACTCACTCACTCACTCCACTCACTCCACTCACTCACTCACTCACTCACTCACTCACTCACTCACTCACGCACACACTCACACACGCACACACGCACACACGCACACACTCACTCACTCACTCACTCGCTCGCTCGCTCACCCACTCACTCACTTCACTTCACTTCACTTCACTTCGCTTCGCTTCGCTTCACTTCACTTCACTTCACTTCACTTCACTTCACTCACTTCACTCACTCTCACATCCCTCACTCACACACACCACACTCGCATCACTCACTCACACTCTCACTCACTTACTGTACATGAACATACATACATACACACAAACTCACCCACCATCACCGCTCCATCACTCTTATACTTCCTCTTCCCTTCTTGCTCTTCTATGGTCAGTCTAAGTCTAAAGAAGTTGGTAACATGTGGGGTTATCCGGTCCTTTAATTTTCTTTTGGCCCAAAGAAATCATTGGTTTCTTGGCTTGGCCAAGGTGCTCTTTGGACCGGTGAAACATTGCAGCAGCTGTGGGGGCAATCGTGGCTGCATCCACTCCTAAGGTCTGGCCGAAAGTGCTGAAGTCCACTGGTTTCAGCAACAAAAGGAACCCCTTTGTAGATTCCAAAAAAAACTCTTATCATCAGTGATTACATTCTAGTATCATAGTGGGATTAAGATTATCATGATTATATATGATTATCATATCCCCCAGTTAGAATCATTGTTGATGATAGGATCTTAATCAAAGGATATTATCATAGTGATTACATGATCAGTGATGATCATATCCCCCAAATCCCACGACGCCATATTCAAATTGCCATGTGGTGGGAAGGAATCCCCCAAAGGAATCCGCAATCGTAGCCACCCAGGTGTCTCCTCAATCTGAGATGGTGTCCATGAGTGATGTGGGCGCCTGGCATTTCAATCACGACCGACAGGGTTCACGTTTTCACGTTGCCATGATCGTCATGATCCAACTTCAGTCATGGCGAACCGTGGCCACTGGATGCTTCTTCACTCCATTGAGGTACTTGGCACCTGCAAATTGCACATATTTTGCTCTGCAAAATCTGCGAATTCGGAGATCAATGGATGATCAGTTGATGATCAGTTGATGATCAGTTGATGACTTGAGAGGAACTGTTGAGTTATCTGAGGCTGCAACGGAAGGAATCGCCGAAGGGCTCTGGGCCAATTCGGGAGCCGTAGTTCTGGCCGGCAGCTCTGAAATACCACCGTTTCTTGCCACAAAAAGTCAGCTTTGATTTAAAAAATATGCACTTTTGATACAAACAAAGAAATTCTTCCGAATGCTCTTGTGAGCGCCAACTTAGAGCTCTGAAGTGGTCTCCTATTGGAGCTGGCAACCTCCAAGGTTCACGGGGAGTGGAGAACATGCCATGCTATTCATGTGTCATCAGGTGTCACTACACCAAAGCTCACTATGGCCCATCAAAGTGAATTTGATATTATCTGTGATGATTTTCAGATATATGATTTCATATCATGTGATTCCAATAGTTTCCATGTTGTCAATGGGATGGTTTAACGGAACATCGGTAGAAAACCTTAATCTTTACCCCCCAAAAATTGGGTCGTCTCAATGATACTATCAATGCATTAATGGTTATTAATGTCATTGGATTGGTTTCAGGGAAAATCTTAACAGGAAATCCATGGGTTTTTACCATCAAATATAGGGCTTTCCGGCTAAAATTTTCCCATCATATCACTTATAGATGATTTTCCCATTAAAACCTCCATTTAGAAGGGATTTTCCATGGCTGCGGCTATGTTAAATAACCAGATGGTTCTTAATGGTTTATAGGCCGATCCCCCTAACCATAGGCCTCCCACGCCCACTTTTTCACCTGGCGACTGGTTGGGTGCCTTCTTGGAGCAAGCGACGCCACGAAGCATCGGAGCATTCTTTTGGGAGCCGACGCTCTTCACGTCCCTGGTGGAAATGCCATAGGAAAGCGCTGGGAAAACACGGGCAAAATGATCAAAATTATGGCAAAATGATGGTCAGATGTTGTAAAATGTGATGAATCTTTAGATGAAACAGTCAGGAAAATCATTAAAGAGTGGCCAGAGTTGGCCAAAGAGCCAAGAAATCAGCTTAGTTCATGTATCTTCGTGTTTATTTCATGATCTGGATCCAGATATCTACACCCAAAGCCAAGATGTTGAAAGATGTTGAAAGATCTGTGACTTTGTATGGATTGTACCATGTCTTCACAAAACCCAACTATATCCAAATATCATGAAATATTAATAATTATGATATGGTATGTATCTCACTATATCTCACTATATCTCACTGTATCTTTCTAACATGCAGGTCTTATACCCCCAACAAACATCCCTTCACCGCATCTCTGGGATTCCCGAACCGCAGCCGGTGTTCAGCCTGTCGGTCCATGATGAACCTGGGTGAATCATTTGGATCAACTGGAACCAGAACTGAATACTTACTGGTGCGTAAAACACGTAGGGAATGGATGGGACATGATGGGTTGCTGGGGCTGGGATTATGATTTATTGATAGTGTGGATCATTCTTTCGAAAATTCCCTACGTAAAACGCACCAGTAAGAATGCAAAAAAATGCCAAAAAAGAATCAAAAAGAAACGTCTAAAGAAGCTACATTTCCCAAATGCTCTGCTAAACTTGGCAAACTTGGGCCATGTGTTTCTGGGCATCCAGCAGGGTCCGATCGACTTTGGGATGTCCCGTCCACACCTCGTCGGTCGGGTTTTTACGTCGGTCAAAACCCTACCCGGATGGTACCCCAAAATAGCTGGTAACCCCTGGTATAGGATGTTGATTTCCCCAAATATGAGAATTCCATTAATAACTTGACCCATCGAAAAACCCATCCCCATCAAATCCATGAGCTCCACTGCCTTGTGGTCCGTTTTTTTTCGTGAAGTCACTAAAATCATGTCAACCCTGGATGAATATTAACCCTGGTTGGGTTAAGAAGACAATTAAACAGCCCAGGTGTTTTTTAGCTCATCAGCATCTGCCAGACCTGTTTGTTGAACTCCCCAGAGCTATTCTCCTGGCGTTGATCGGCGTTGAAAATAGGAAACAGCTTTGAAAATCAATGAAAATCCATGAAAACCAGCCAAATGTTGGGGCAAAATTTGGGAGCTGTGACTCAGAGTTTTTTCCATTCAAAAACCGTTTTTTTTTGGACATTGAGACCACTGAGTCAGTCATGACCTGGATGTGAGGAGGAATCGTCACGGTGCCAATAGAGCTGCGTCGTAAATGAACATATCGAGGCCTGCCGGTTTCCGAGCGATGATGTCAGATGTTGACATCAGACAACACATACATATATATGTATATATATATAATGTATACATATATATATATATATATTATGCATGTATATATATATATATATATATCATGGCAACTATTAAACATAAAACTCCTAAATCCCAGGCCCAAGTTGCCCAAGAATGATTGTTCAGGATGTCTGAGATGATGTTCTTTTCATATCACACTGCACAAATTGGAACAGATAAGCCCTGGACCCCGGTTCTTCCATGGCTCTCTTCAGAAAGGTCTGCTCCTGGAACCCAAGGGACCCCACGGGTTGACGATCTGCTTGGGATTTTTTTAGCCAATGTCTTGTAGATCAATCATTTTGAAGAACATCCAATTTCTGCATGGCTCTGGCTATCAAGAAAAGTGGATTGATACCCTCTGGCTATCTAACATTGCTTCGAGATGATTTGATGGTGAGATTGACTGATTCGGGAGTCAGGACCTGCCTCAATCACATCCAGAGTAATTTCAGCAAAGTACCTGCCAAGCTGGAAACAAAAGTCATCCAACTGCTATGCCCGCGGTGCCTCTCAATTGTTTTTGTACCACATGTTTGGCCACTAAAAATGTGAAACATGATGTTCCAAACCATGGACTTGGATGATTTTGGGGCTCCACAACGGTCCAAAATCGCCCTGATCTTTGGCCACTTGGCAAAGAGTTCATTGTTGCCATCTGAAACCATGTTTGCAAATATTCACTGCTGGAAGGTTGGAAGGTCCATGTCACCCAGGTCAGCTGAAATCACCTGCACAATCCTCAGGTCCCTACAGCTGTTGTCAGCCCCTGTGGCTTCATCCTGGAATCACCATGTTCTCGGACTCCGACCCGGCCTGAAGAACACGGCAATTCATATAATTCATATGCCAAAAGGTGCCCCAAGTCTGGATTTGAAATCCACATGGTGATTTGAACATATTTGAACCATGATACCCTTTGAGGTTGAACCATAACCATGGACCATGGCCTTTTGACTAGTTGAAAAAAACATGATACCCTGTGTTCCATCCAAAAATTGCTGGCAAGATGGCTGGAGATGACTGGAGCTTCCAGAAAATGTCTCAATCGCAATCAAATCACAAGGCAAAATCCCTATGATTGTAAATCATTCGGTATTGAGGGACAATATTCAATCCATACAATACGGATGTCATAGGGACTAAAGTTATTTATACCAGTAGTGCCGCACAAGGCGGTGGCGGAAGTTTCAAAAATTGGAAACGAGTGTAGTGGAGTGTAGTTGTGTAGTTGTAGTTGTAGTGTGGTGGAGTGTAGTGTAGTGCAAGGTAGTGTAGTGTAGTGGAGTGTAGTGTAGTGTAATGTAGTGAAGCGAAGCGAAGCGGAGCGAAGCGACATCTGAACCTCCAAAAAGTGGTCCGAACCCCTAGTGCTTTTAACATTTTGACTTCGAAATGTGCTTCGCGCCACAATGGCGTGCACTTTTTCGACATCTGAACCTCCAAAAGTGGTCCGAGAATGGTGTGCTTTGTACATTTTGACTTGGAAACGTGCTTCGCGCCACAGCGGCGTGCACTTTTGCGACATCTCAACTTCCAAAAGTGGTCCGAAGCTGGTGTGCTTTGTACATTTTTACTTCGAAATGTGCTTCGCACCACAACGGCGTGCACTTTTTCGACATCGCAACTTCCAAAAGTGCTCCGAGAATAGTGTGCTTTGTACATTTTGACTTCGAAATGTGCTTCGCGCCACAACGGCGTGCACTTTTTGGACATCTCAACTTCCAAAAGTGGTCCGCACCCCTAGTGTTTTGTGCATTTTGACTTGGAAACGTGCTTCCCCCACAACGGCGTGCAATTTTTCATCTCTCATCTGGCCAGCTGGCTCCGCACCCGCCTCTTTAGCGAGCCTACTTTTCGACCCTCTGGAGCCACAAATCATTGGAAAAACACAATGTTTCGCGACTTTCCTACCTTTTCGCGCATCTGCATCTTCTTTCTTCTGACTCTTTCTCTTCTACTCTTCTCTCTTCTAATCTTTCTCTTCGCTCTGACCCTTTCCATCTCTGCTTTTCATCTGTCCATATTGTCGGAAGTTTGACTTCTAAACTTCCTTCGATAATGCAAAAAAAAATGTTAAGAAACAACGTCAAAAAATCTCAAAAAAGCGCAATGACGGACAGGACCAAGCCACTCGAATGACTCGACTGGTCAGCTGCAGCCATAGGGCGGAAATCCAAACTGCAAACATGGGCAGTGACTGTTTTGCCAAGGCCCAGTGCTAAAGGGACAACTCTGAAACATCAGATCCTGTAAGTTTACACTTCGTGGCTTCGTGGTGTTCCAAACGACCAGACTCAGTGCCTAGTTCATGTCGCATTGTGTTGAAGGTTTCTACCGTTCTACCCATCGACCGTTTGCCTCGGATCTGGGGATTATGGGGATTGGTTGGTAGCCTTGCTATTTCATTGGACACGTGTCCAGAAGTTGAAAGAGTTGGGTCTGGTGTTTCCACGTTGCAAACAAAATAGATGAAATGCTTAAGTAGCACGTAGTAGTACTGAATGCGGTTCCCGTTTTGGATTAAATGTCGTATGTGTGTAGCATCGGGGTGCCAGTCTTCAGTGAAACTATCGATACAGCACGTCGCTTCTGAGTGAACACAGGAAGGGATGAACCTTGAGAAAAGGGGCAAGACGGCAAGACCACTTCATCATCATCATCATCACCAACGTCATCAAACATGAAAAATCTACCTTCATCTGCATGGAACCTTCCAGAAAGCTTGCCCGCTGCTCTTCGTGCTGATGTTTCCACCGCAGCCATAGAATCATGCAACGCTAGTGCTTGACCAGATCATTAATGCCCACAACCGACTGAGATATAACTGGGGATATATCTTCCGGGTTGATTGGGCTTTGACTGGGCAACCACTTCACTGACCAACCGTCCGCATCTTTTTTCGGTCGTCAAACTGCAGACAGCAGGGCGCTCTTGGTACTGGCCTTGAAAGACCCTATGAGCTGAGGTTGAAGGGTCAGATCTGCCAGGAAAATCCAGGAAAAGGATGGAAAAGGTACTGTTTTTGGAAGGGGAACAATCCCAAAACATACATTCACATTGCACTTTGTGGTTGTACTGGCTTTCAACAGTAATTAAGTAGTGTGCCTGCGTCGCTAACATTCAGCTGGCGCAGGTATTGATGATATCTGAAGCATCTGCTTCGCCCATAGGGGAAGATTCCCCCACTCCACCACCAATATGTCAGGCCGCACGCCAACCATCGGTTACTCGCCTGTAAACTTGATCAAGTCCAGAATGGCATCGCTGTTATGTCAGCCTTGCAGGGCATCCACGTGGGTGAGTGGCCCCCATTTTGACTGGTGTTCACTGCAGTGGATCTATATGGATCACCCAAATTGGAAGATAGGGTTGATCCCAGGGGTTGATAGGGATGAGGATAAGCTGAGCAAAACCACTCCACTAGGTTTGGAAACTGCTCGCAAGCCGGGTCCCAGCTGCCTGCGTTTAGCCACACAGGTTCCACAGTCCACATCATCAAGCCTTGTTCCACTGTGGAGCTGCAAAGTGCGTTATGCAAGGAAGGGAATGAGCAAAGGAGATTTGACAAAATGTCTGTACAGGTCCCAAATGAGCTGCAAAGGTTGAGTCCCTATCAATGTCGAACCCTCATTGACAAGCTGTGAGCTTGGCCAAGTACAACGTTGACTTCGGAGCGAACAAATGTGACACGAGGTGGGATCGCCAAAAATTGGCATACCGGTGGTCTTTTAGGCCTTTTACATCACGGGCCTCCGGCTCCCCAAGATGGGCAAAATCCGGTCAAACTGGAAACCTATGCGTTTCAATGATATAAATCCTTGTGGCAGCGTCTGTATCGGATGCTCTGCGCATCTTTTTGCGACTTGAGTGGCAGAGAAAGAATGAGCTGAGGAAGCTCCAGGAATATTCTCCAACAATCTGCTCTGACTTTTCAAGCATACTTCTGTAGCAATCTATTTGAAGAAAGTTTAGCTGGAGAAGATTCCCATGCGCGCCACTGATTCAGCAATCTGATCAGCAACCCATTGGGCCCAAGTCATCTGCCGATCATCTATGAACACCGGGCTTTTTTTGAACACCAATTGATTCTGACAGATGCCTCGTTCGTTGTTCTGCGGCGCTGGTGGCCACTCATCACAGAGCCTAATCGGAAACACGGGCAACTGGTGGTCATGAGCAAATTCAAGCTCATGGAAAGTTTCATATCCTACACCAGTGTATGCACCATATTCCGAGGTGCAGAATGCTACCATGCCTTTGGCATAGTACAATCCTCTCCGTGTCACGTCAGCAAAACTTTGGCCGACGGTTGCACCAACCATGAAAACCGGTATGTTTTGAGCTTCCAGCTGCTTCTTCACTGCCCTCATATACGCAATAATCCTCAGTCATCAACCCCACGAAGCATTGGAAATCTTGACTGTGTCGCCCCCTGTTCAAAGCAGATCTGATCCCCAAAACCACACATTAAAACAGATCAATCAATAACTGTTTGAGGCAAGAATCTCACCACTGATGAAGCGTCCGCTCAACAACAAGTGTCCTTGCTGTGACGACGCCGCCTAAGAACTGGCAGTGCAGCTTCCAAAGCGTCAGCCATAGACACACTGAGGTTTCGAATGGTGGGTAAAGACAAGTACAATGCCCACAAGTACCCAAAATCCTGAATCAATGGAGTGATTCGAAACAAGATTGCAGTCCTTGTTTGAATACGGAAATTGTTTTCGAGGGACAATGTGGTTTTGGGATGTTATGGGTCAGTTGGCACCAAACTAGCTGATGTTGATTGATTTTCATACCCCAAAACATATGACAATTAGTTTTGATCCATCCCAAAGATCCTGAGTTCCCCACCGATCACATGTCAGTCGAGGCAGATGCCTGGCAGCACGGCACACGTCTTGCACAGCGAGATGGATCTGGAGATGGATCCATCCCCAACATGAAGATTTGACTGCGTCATGTCCCAATAACAATCGAAGTTTCCTCTTAAGTATACAATAAAACTCTACCGTAGCAGCACCAAAAAGCATCAAAAAGCTATCCCAATCCAACAAATCTAAATGCAAACGTCATTGGTCACCGGCCATTTCCAGGGCTACGCATCTGGGCAAATGGAACTGACAGGAACAAGTCACATGCAACGCTGAGGTCAGAACAGGAGCTGGGTTTGGAGATTCAGCACCTCTTGATGCGGCCGGAGATGGTAGCACCTGTTCGGCATGAACTAGCGAACTATAGCGAACTACATCCTTTAGAAAACATGAGAAACCCGGGTTCGTCATGCATGCTTCGGTTGCTTCGGTTTCTCACATTACGGGTTGATGCATCGAAATCACGGTTCCCGATTTCACAAGGGATTTACAATGACATGTCTACAAAAACCTGGGAAATCAACAGATGCATCCCTGAGCAGATTTTATGTCGAAGGTTTCTCCTATTGATTTTCTTCTGCTGCAATGGCGGCGGCAGGGATGGTGGCACGGACGAAGCTTTGGCCATGATAAATACCCATGTGCACACCTTATCCTCTGTTTACAGGCATGATTCTGCGACTATGATGTACTCAAACCGCCTAGTCCGCTTGGGATGATGTCATGTCCTTTTGTGGAATTCTTTTGCTGTTTATTTTTTTTCTCACTCAGGCATCACTCAGGGATAATTTTCGCTCAATCGTGTTCAATCTATACTTTTGCTTCGTATTTGAACTTAGTTTCATACCAGTTTCTACAATTTCCACTACCAAGTCGGAATTGTTTCTGAGCCACCCATCCAGATTTTCGCCCCATTCCTCAAACTCCTGCAGATCTTCATGAGACAAAGCGACTCCTAAATCGCTTGACGAGCCTTGTCTGATTGGTATCGCGTTGGCGTCCATGGCTCTGCTGACCTATACAACAATTGGCGACAAACGTTTCTGACAGCAAAGGCAGCTGCGGGGCAAATGACACCCCATAGCAACTCCCCTGCTGCATGGACTTGTTGGATTTGTAGAGTAGGATGTTCCTATATGTTCGGATGCTGTGGATGGGATAGACCAAAGCCAACCACCAATCATTTTGAACTTAAGATCAGCCATCTGCAATATGGCAACAGCCAGCCCGCAGCACAAGTTTGAGGCAACATCAAAGCATGGGCCTGGATTTCAAGAGGTCCACAACTTCTCTGAGACCATCGAGGACGTCTTCAGCTTTCAGAGCTGTGGCTTGGAGCGTTGCGCCTTTGACCTTAACCACGTGGTGAGACCATGTAAGGTGCAAAGCTATCAATGCACGGCATCTTGGAAAGCCCCTGCCTCGTGGTTGATGACTGCAATGCTATCAATCCTCTTCGGCAGCAAGGACCCCTGGGGGCAAAGGCAGGCATTCAAAGCACAGTTCAACGGTACCGGATCCACAGATTTGAGCGAGGAATAAAGAGAATGGTTGAACGTCCGTGCAAGCACTTCTGGGTATAGTTTCCTGTTGTCTGTGTGCAACCTATAAACGCCATCTTATTAGCTCCCGGCGCTGCTAAGGTTTGTTAAAGAAGTCCTCATCACTATCAAAATCGGGGCCCCATGTGCTTGCTCAATATTCACTCGACTCTTGACTGCCAGGCCTGGCAAATGTTTGTTGGATAAGGTGTCGGGACGAAGGATACGTCAAGGTCATGATCAAGCAAAAGAGGTTGTATGGCCTGCCACGTGGAGGTACTGTGCTATCTGCAGCAATGGCTGTTCTGCAGCGATTCAACCTCGAAAGTGGTACCCTTTTATCTCTGTTCATAGACCAAAACGTTTCTGCTAAAACAAAAGTTGAAGGACACAGAATGCTTGTCATACGCTGTTGACAATTTAAGCATACTTCAAGGGATTTCAAGGGTCTTGGGGCGTGCTGTCATATCCTGTCACTCCTGCCGCTCACACCCTTTCCTTAGAAGGCCTTTTCGGGAAAGTTCAGATCTGCCAGCAGTACGGTTGGCAGCTTCTCGCCCTTGACAATCCCAGCTATGCAATCGGCAAATTCTTTGCGAGCGCGCCCAAAAGGAGCACCGGGTAGATGCCTTGGCGGCGGGGTGTTGAGTGTGCAGTTCACATTGAGCGGTTTCACACACCCTCTTGGAAAGAGGTGCAGCCAAAGCACGTTGTCACAACACGCAAAAGGCCCATTCCAGCATGTTTGAAATGGGCCTCAGTCACCACTTGCACTGGCGAAAGAAGAAAGAAACAAAACCTTGCCTACACAGGCTAAGTGTATGGTACCAGCTTCAGCTTCAAGCAAAAAAACCGCCTTCTTGGAATTCTCTCTGAAGGCGCGATGAAAACGAATACGTTCCCGAAAGTAAACATGGTCGGAATGGAAAAGGATTGCCTGCAAGGGGCCGGGGTGGATACAGATGTTGAGTCCAACAATTGCCAGAGCTATGAGGCAAAATGCTGCGATTTTCTGTTGGATGTCGGATATGGAAAACAAGATGTCCTAACACATACAACGTATTGCCTCTTGGTTCTTGTCTTCTCCGCTGCAGTGCATCTGAACTTCAGGCTGTCTTTCCTCCAAAGCTTCTCCAAGCTGCTGAAGCAACTCGGGCCAGCATTCTTGTAAGCACAATATTCGGAAATCGTTCTGTAGCATCTCTTCGATCTTCTCAATGATCTTGCTCTCTCTTGTACCAGCTTCATGCTGCATTGTTATTTCCGAGCCTTTGAGTCCTTGTGTGTTTTTATCTATGTATTCATAGTAGTTCCGGTTCAGAACATTCCAGGAAGCAACCTTGATGGAGTTCTCACCGAGTTTGAGCATAGCTGCAATGGGAGGGTGGTCTGAAGGAAACGTCCAGAGCTTTCCGAGTGGTTTGGCCACTGGAACTTTGAAAGAACCCAATTTTCCGATCAAGACGGTCTCAACGCAGCTTTCCAACAACAGCTGTGCTTTATGCAGGAATGTACGTAACATGTCTTTCTCTTTCGCAGCTTCTGGTGATGATTCTGGTAGCAGCTCCGGGATGTACTTCAGTGCTTTTGCAATGCTGTCGCGCCCATCTTCTGCAGCCTGCTTCTCTGACTCATCAATGTTGTGAAGCCGAGACTTCAATCTGCTCAAGTTCTGACCTCTAAAACATCAAGCAACGATCCACTGCACATTGTCAAGAATGCATCAGAATGCAAAATTACATCGTCTTCGACAAAAGGGGAAACAACAAACACTTTATCTAATATACATTATGACCTTATGGGCAAAAAACTCTTGCTGCTGTGCGGCGAAGTATGGGCAGATCGGTACGTGCATGTTCAAACAACTCGTGGGAAGATTGCATCATATTGATGATGGTCTCGACATGCGCCGCAACTTGATTGAGTTCAGCGACCCAGTGACCAAGCAGCGGGCGGAGAGCCTCCAAAATGCTCAAGTTCCACTCCAAGTCAAATCCTCGCTCCGCTAAATAGGCACTTCTCTCCCAAAGGCGCTTGACGTACTTCATTGCATTGGGTTCCTCACCTGAAAACTTCTCCAAATTCTTCTCAACTGATTGCAAAAAATCCTTCTCGTCGCTGATCGGCTGGATAGGTTGAGCCCCTTTGAACCAACCAGCTCGCAGGACATTGGTAACCTCAAAATAGCGACGTGTCTCTTTGGAATCCTCAAAAAGTTTCACTTTTGCAAACAAGTCAAGCTTGGCAGTCCAAGTATGATGACCTTCTCCCAAAGCTTTTTTCAAAGCTTCTGTTGACGAGCACGAAATGTCTTGTTGCGTCCAACTTAGGATTTTTTTTTTTGCACCGCTACATTCAGACGCGGGCTCAAAACCTGCTTTGAATCCACCGAAAAACATTTCCACACCACCTGCCCCAGCGATATTCCCATATTCGGTATTCCCATATTGGGTCTGAATGGTCCTGCAAAGTTCTGTCAGGGCCTCATCTCGACTGTTGGCATCTATGGCCAAATACTCTTCCAGGTCAACATCACCAGGATATTTCATAGCCTTGAAACGGAAGCTGCCCGCAGGTCGTGTGTGCCTTCCAAAAATGGCAGCGCTTTGCACAACAGAGCGGAGGGCACTGTCCAAGTCGGGTAGGAAACGCTCTTCCAATAAGGCCCGGAGTCTACAGAGAGAGCATGTTTGCTTACATCCCACATTCATGCAAAGTGTTGAAGTAATTGGGACAGCTTTCAACTGAAAAATGGAGGCAGGATCTATTTCATATCCAGGATTGAAGCCGAAAATGTCATTTTCTAGCAAATGTTTCACCTTTTGGGCAACTTCTTTGTATTTCAGTTCGTTGCCTCCCTGAACAACGATTCGCAAAAGACTCTTGGAGCTTCTGCACAGACTGACTGGGAATAGAGATATTGACACTGAACAGGTGCCTGCATGAAAGTGCCCGCGATTCCGGAAAACTTGGGGCGGTCCTGGTTTCCATGTGCTTTCAGAGTCGTTTGTGATCTGGCAACTGTACATCTTCTGCGCCAACGCCGGGAAGAAATTGGGGGACAAAAGACCACCGACATCCACGTAGAAGACTTTGCCTGCCTCTCTTAAGACCTCTTCTGCGCTGTGTGCAATGGGCAAACAACTTGGAAGAACGAACTCATCCTGAACAAGTCGCTCGAACATCAGGTGCTTTTCCAGCAAGATCTGCCATATTAGCTCTTGCTGGCTCTCCTCAGGAAACTCCTTGCGATTGCAGGCACAAATCCCTCCAGCTCAACACACGTTGCACAACTCACCATGTTCCAAAGTAAAATTAAAGGAAGAAAACAAATGGACACAAACACTGCAACGCGCGAAACTTGCGGGCAAAATGAAACGCCATCAAGTTACCGCAACTGGCTCTGACGCCATGAGCACAACACCAACCACTAGACTCCAACTCACACGAGTCCTATACACACCTGCGCAAACTTGCGCCTATCCTACCCGCCGTTCACCAAAGCTTTGCTGGAGCTTTGCGAACAGGAAGTTCAAAAACGGCATCGATAATGCTATCTCAGGCAGGTGTGAAGGAATCAAATGGAACAAATTTCTACATGAAAAGAACTACGCACCTAAATTCTATGGCAAGGCCTTTTTTATCCTCAGGTGGCCGGTTTCTGGCCCTCTAGCAATGCTTGAGTAAAGGACAACGGGATGCTGCTAGTGTGTTGACAGCAGCATAGGGCCTTTTGATGCCTTTTGGAGGTGGTTGGAAGCCAAAATAGTCCCCATAGGATTGATAGGTTATAGGTTTGTTTCCCTCGAGGATTACCCTGCCTGTTTACTATTGTAACTTGCGGCAGTTTCCCAGTTTCCCAATTTATGTTGACCATTGTCGTGCAACACAGGACACAAGGTTTGAAAGCATTTGGACCCTGGGGTCCTCTTTCCAAAGTCCTCTGATCAACTTGCGCGTTGCGATCCCTGTTGACTGGAACCGAAGAAGATCACTACGATGTTCAGTGATTTTGCGCTCAATCATCATCATATCTCTGTGTTCAAAGTTCTCCTGGCCAAAGCAAATGGTCATCAATGATGCCATTGCAACTGCAACTCGGCGTGGATTTAGCAGCACAAGGTTTCGAAGCTCGGGCTGGTCCATCCACACTAAAGTGCCTAACAGGTTCAGCAACCTCAAAACTGTCTCGGCGTCGTCGTTGGACAAGCCTGTAGGCTGCATGCCCTTGAGAAGCTGTTGAACTACTTCCAGCTCCAGACAGTCACAGGAGACGTGCAAGTTCAGCGGGATGCCTCCGGCACCCACAAAAGCTCTGCCCTCAATTTTGATGGAAGATCCCCTTGGCACAATCAGCCAACTCTTGTCTGAGAGGGTTACCCGCAGATTCGACGCGATCTTGAGTTTGCGCCCTGATTTGAGTTCCGCATCTTGCGCAACCTTCTTAACTTCAACCATGGGAGCTGTGGCCCTGACGGGGCACGGAGAATGCATGGCACGGATGGTGAACTCACACAAGTTCATTCCTGCATGTTGCCATGACTTTACCACGGTCGCGCGCGGATTCGGAAACTAAAAACGCGGATTCGGAAACTAAAAACACGGATTTGGAAACTAAAGCCGCAGATTCGGAAACTAACACACACTCGGATTCGGAAACCAAGATTCGAAAACTGAAACCGCGGATTCAGAAACAAAGATTCGGATATATTCGGAAACTAAAAGCGCGGATTCGGAAACTAAGACCGCAGATTCGGAGACTAATTGTGCAACACAATGGACTGCCCAAGTCAATGTGAAGTTCCATGGGGGTGAGAATTTTGATATCATCTGATCCTCGTGACAGTCCAAGTCAATTGGAAGTTCTATGGGGGTGGGAATTTTGATATCATCTTGTCCTTGTGGACAGTCCAAGTCAATTTGAAGTTCCATGGGGGTGAGAATTTTGATATCATCAATCTTATCCTTGTGGACAGTCCAAGTCAATGTGAAGTTCCATGGGGGTGGGAATTTTGATATCATCTTATCCTTGTGGACATTCCAAGTCAATTTGAAGTTCCATGGGGGTGGGAACTTTGATATCATCTGATCCTCGTGACAGTCCAAGTCAATTTGAAGTTCCATGGGGGTGGGAATTTTGATATCATCTTGTCCTTGTGGACAGTCCAAGTCAAATTGAAGTTCTATGGGGGTGGGAATTTTGATATCATCTTGTCCTTGTGGACAGTCCAAGTCAATTTGAAGTTCCATGGGGGTGGGAATTTGATATCATCTGATCCTCGTGGACAGTCGAAGTCTATTTGAAGTTCCATGGGGGTGGGCATTTTGATATCATCTTGTCCTTGTGGACAGTCCAAGTCAATTTGAAGTTCCATGGGGGTGAGAATTTTGATATCATCTCATCCTTGCGGACAATCCAAGTCAATTTGAAGTTGCATGGGGGTGGGAATTTCGATATCATCTTATCCTTGTGGACAGTCCAAGTCAATTTGAAATTCCATGGGGGTGAGAATTTTGATATCATCATATCCTTTTGGACAGTCCAAGCCAATGTGAAGTTCCATGGGGGTGGGAATTTTTATATCATCTTATCCTTGTGGGCATTCCAAGTCAATTTGAAGTTCCATGGGGGTGGGCATTTTGATATCATCTTGTCCTTGTGGACAGTCCAAGTCAATTTGAAGTTGCATGGGGGTTGGAATTTTGGTATCATCTTATCCTTGTGGACAGTCCAAGTCAATTTGAAGTTCCATGCGGGTGGGAATTTTGATATCATTCTCCTTAGTTTCTGAATCGCGATAGTTTCTGACTCGTGCATTTCTGAAACACGATCGTTTCTGAATCGTAGTTTCTGAATCGTGGTAGTTTCTGAATTACTTTCTGAATCGCGATACTTTCTGAATCGCGATAGTTAATTTCTGAATCGGTGGAAATAGTTTCTGAATCGTAGTTTCTGAATCGGCTTTCGACCACTTTACCACTGTCTACACAGAGTCTACACATGGAAAAATCCACAAATTCCACAATTCAACTTCTTCAACGCAACAAAACAAAGTTCCAAACAGCCTGAAGCCGGATCCAAGGCGAGTCAGCAGATCATGGGCTTGTAACCAGGCCAACGGGTACAGCTTTGCCTGCACTCCCACCAATCCTGGTACGGCATCATCATTATCATCACGTGGAGTGACAAATTGCAACACCATGTGTTGCAGGTGCCGGCGCAAGGGGCGAATGAATTCCTCAGAACTGGTTCCTTTGTTTTCGATGGGGAATAGCCAGAAACCATTCGGATGTAGCTGCAGCTGTTCCTTTAACCAGGGGACTTTTTCCTTCAGATCCTCAAGGCGCTTCTGCAGTTCTAACTCATCAAGTTTGTCTGGTTCCCCAGCTTTAGTCCCAAGAAGAAGAATAGGCGGTTTTGCGTTCTTCTTCTTTGAAAACATCCCGATGGCCCATAGCCAGAAACATATATGGCGCCATTCCTCATCCATCTTCCCAGTCATGTCGAAAAACACCAGATAGATTGCCCTCTCGGAAAAAAATATTTGGTTCAGCAGTGCGTATTCTTCTTGTCCTGGGAAATCCCAGCACTGCAATCTCGCCTCTACGCCGTCTTTTTCGCTTTTCTTGCTGGAAAGCATGTTGGAAAGAGTACCCTCATCCATGATCATAGGCCCGCACGTCGCTGGTGGAAGGAGCGGAGCGGCATCATTCTGTTGAGCGGCATCGTTCTTTTGAGCGGCATCGTTCTTTTGAGCGGCATCGTTCTTTTGAGCGGCATCATTCTTTTGAGCAGCATCGTTCTTTTGAGCGGCATCATTCTTTTGCTTGACATGCACCGCTGCACGAGAGTATGCGGTCCCCGGATTCTCCACATCGGCCTCTGGTGCCTTCCGAAGAGCGTCCTCGCAACATGAAGGAAACATGAGGAAGCTGTGGCAATATATCTTATCGATTTGAAACTTAATCAAACCCTATCGAATCAAAACCTGCTGTGTCTACAGCTGCTTCTAAACTGCGCACACGTCAGTCCTACTCTGCGCGTGTCTAATCTAGGTTTAACTATGGCTTGTATGGTTTATTTCCAGGGGGCGTGTGACGGAATTACTTTCTACATGGAGCCGCATGCACAAATACGAATGAGTTTGATGCAGCCCCGTTCCGCTTGTCTACTAGTTGGCACAGGGATGCATGTGGGGAAATAGCTGCGAAACTTTAAACTGTGAGGGTTTAGACTGTTTAGACCTTCATAGATTTTCTGGGGTGTCAATCTACCTCTTTTTTCTCAAAACGGCGAGTTCCAAATCAAAAAAGGCATTCGACCAGTTTTCAAGTGGGCATTGAAGGCTGTGATTGCCCAACCCCAGACAAAGATGTTGATACAAATCAATCTGCAAGCGAAGAACTCACAGAATCATGTGATCTGGTTGCCTGCTTGGTATTGCCAACGATTCTGCAAACCACGAAGGGGTTGCTTGCCATATGGGACATGAACAACTTTGGATTCGCTGAGTGACCAAGTGAAGCGCACATGCAAACACGTCCTTGACAGCAGTATGGTGCATGGATTCCTTCCATTCCTTCCACGGGCCAGCTGCGCTTCGGTCTGCTTGTAGATGGGCTTCAGCTTGGCCGGCCCAAACATCTAGACCATGGGTGGATGGCTCTTCATCTCGAAATGGTTCACCTTTGAGCCGCCTCAAAAGCGGGG